CTTCATCTATATTTGTTGCAATCAACCGAAAGCCTTCTTTTCACGATGTTTGAACTCCTTCTTCTCTTTCATATCAGCATCTTTGCTTGGAGCCTCTTCACTTTCATCTATAATATCCCAAAGATCCAAAGATGCCAACAAAAGCTCCATTTTGACCTTCCAATGGTAGAAATTTTCACCTCTAAACTTCTCAATAACTTTCAAGCCTTCACCCTCACTTGAAACCATGTCTTAGGCAGAGTTGTATCAACAAAGGTTGTAAGAAGAAGTCCTAATGCTCTTAAAATCAGCAAGAAGGTTTAGCTGCCTTAGAATCACAGAATCCTTCTTTGTGAACAAACTAGTATTTTTACTCTCAAAAACACTCTCAACTTCACTTCTAAGGCTTCTCACAAGTCTGGTGATCTTTCCAAATCTAAATTGTCACTCTAATATCTCTCTTATATTCACAAGTCACCTCTATACACCAAAAGAGGCATATAAAGCAAAATAAGCAACTTTATGTGATAAATCAACCATCAACACCAAAATGCTCTTAACCACAAGTAAGAGCAAACGAAGATCTAGATCTAGATCTGAATCTGAAAGTTAGGTACTTTTAATGCCTAACATCAGCAACAACAACTTGATCTACTCCACACTTACAAAATAAAATACTTCAAAGACTTCAAAAGACACTCAAGCAAATGTGAATGGGCCCATAACCTATTGAAAAAAAAGAAGTCTAAAGGCTACAAACACTTAGCATCAACAAGTATTGTACTCTAATAGAAGTGTGGAGGAAGATAATTCTTACTTCCAACACTCTTTACTTATAGGTGGTGGTTTGCTTACCAACGAGGCAACTTCCATCTATTTGATATTACATCTGTTTCTACCTCTTCTTAGTAAAGCCTCGGTACTACCATAATAACTTACTTTATCTCTTTGCTGCCTTTTTACTATTAGCAACATACTATGCTTAAACTTTATGTGGTTGTAACTAAGCAAGTACTTGCTGTTCTTCAACAATCTTCAATTTAAATAAAATATTGTTATGTTATTAGAATAGTTGTTTAATGATGGAAGACTTTGTAGAGAATTTAATGTGTTGTGATTGGCATGTGATAATTTAATATCATGCCATGGTTGGAAGCAAAGATAAAAATATAAATGTAAACACAAGTTAAGAACCTTTGTAGACCTTTATGTATCAAAACATTCCAACCCCATAGATTCTCAATCTCATAAATGCACCAATTTATTTGAAGAGAAGTGGATATTATTTCTTAAGATTGATAGTTGTAGTTAGATACATTAGAGTGAAACCTTTGGTTTAGTATACAAGAGATATTTATGGATAAGAAGAAGTTACAATTGATAATTGGAAGAGTTTAATAAAATGATGAAGCACAAATTTTTTGATGATGACCAGTAAATGAAGAAGGTTTTTAGTTATTGGAAAGATTGGATGGATGAAGGTAATTTAATTGATTCATTTATGAGAAGAGAACATTGGGAGGGGATAAGAATGGGAGTTTTACATGTGACAGCCGCCAGGTTACAAACGGTGTGGGAGAGGCAGGTGAGCGAATGTAAGGAAAAGTGAGAGCAAAAGAAAGGGTGAAGGGGAGAAAGAGCTTGCACCGGCCGGGAATCGAACCCGGGTCTGTACCGTGGCAGGGTACTATTCTACCACTAGACCACCGGTGCATATTGCCTCGCCGCTGCCGGGGATCGAACCCGGGTCACCCGCGTGACAGGCGGGAATACTTACCACTATACTACAACGACCTTTTCCAGTCGGAAGCGCGTAGGCGCACATCCTGCTGGAAGATGTCAACATTTCGAAAAAAACTCTAATTATCCTAAAAATAATTTCTCAGACCTACCACCTTCACCGTCAAACGCGGCCAGGGCACAAAAGCTACTCGCTCTTGCTACAAAACGAGACTCACTCGCTGCCATAGCCCCTCCTCCTTCT